TGTCGCAATGAGGGGTGTGCAGAAACCGACTACTGTGTTTTTGCAGCGGCGAAACGTTTTTTTTTTTTCGCAGCGGGAATGCTCCATCTAGTGTTCCGAAGTGGATTAATATTGTTTTATTTTAAATGCATGATTGATGGGGTGATCTGATATGTGAAATCAGAACAAATATTTATTTAACAGAAAAATCTCCGTCTTCATTCAGCAGTGTTTTCCAGTACTTTTATTTCATTTTTGTTAAGGTGCTCTACCATGTGGTTCACGTTCCATGGCAATCTCCAGAGGATGTAAAGGAACTTCTTTGGCGACGTCACGTTTATAATAATGCCGTCATCTCTTTGAAAGAGGTATTAAACTTCCTGGGTTTTTGTTGTTTTATCTCCCTTTCAGAGTGAATTCTGCGGGGAATATATTGTTGATTAAAATCTAGATGGGAAGGTGGCCGGCTTTTATCAACTTCATTGTAATGCGCCACGCATTCAACTCAAATTCTGTGACTTAGGCCGCGTTCATAGTTCGCGTCTTTCGAGAATAGGATAATAGGCGGTAGGATATTAGAATGGGAGTAGAGTAGGATTAAATGCGTTCCGATTGGATTCAGGCGAATCGACCGACACGTACACATACAATCCTGCTAGCACTATCTTGATCCACTGCTATCCTGATCTCTTACTCTACTATTACTTACTACTATCCTGCTATCGTTACATCGTTTTCTACTTCTCTATGACGATTTCAATCGACACGGATCTAGTCTTGTCAGCGCGCTATTCTGATTTTCTTCTATTGTACGAAGTCGCAAGGGTGTGCTTCACTAGGACAGAAAGCGACTTTTTCGCGTTTCGCAGCGCGAAACATTTTTCGCTGCGGGAACCTCAGGTCCACCGCTGATCATCAGTGGACCCGAGGTTCCCGCAGCGAAAAATGTTTCGCAGTGCGAAACGCGAAAAAGTCGTCTTTGTCCTAGCTGAATCCACCGAGTCGCAAACTATGAACGCGGCCTGAACTTCGAGTGGGGTATTTTTGGCGCTACTCCACTATTACTGCTCCAAAATCTCAAAATTTTATTTTTCGTCGAAACTTTGCCTATAGGGGTAATTCGATGCCCTGATTACGAATATGACATTCATTTTTGATGCTGGCGCCATTTGGCGCCCATTTGTCACGACGGCTGTTTTCACCAAATTCGCTGTAAACTTGTACATAGGGGTTATTTGGTGTCCTGATTACGAATATGACATTCGTTTTTGGAATTGGCGCTGTTCTAACGCATATTTTCTGCTCTCCTGGGCTCTCTCACTTATACATTGTGCTTAAGACTAAGCTTATTGGAGAAGGAGGACTCCGAGGTGGGTAAACCACGCAGCATGTGACAAAAGTTGAAGTGTGTGATATCAGGGTGAGTGGCTCACTCACCTCTGAGCCCTCCTTTCCCCAAGGGCTTAGTCCTGATGCGATCAACCCAGTGCGAGGGCGCAGACGAGCAGAAAATGGGCGCCAAATGGCGCAAGCGCCAAAAATGAATGTCATATTCGTAATCAGGACACCAAATAACCCCTATGTACAAGTTTACACCGAATTTGGTGAAAACAGCCGTCGTGACAAGGTGGCGCCAACTGGCGCCAAATGGCGCCAGCATCAAAAATGAATGTCATATTCGTAATCAGGGCATCGAATTACCCCTATAGACAAGTTTCGACGAAAAATAAAATTTGAGATTTTGTAGCAGTAGTGGAATAGTGCCAAGTTTTCTGATCTGTTGAAAAATGACCATAATGAATTAAAGGTATGATGGGTGAGAGGTGAAGGGTTTAAGATGCGCGTACTTTGCGCGTGACGTGTGTTTCAGGAGAAAGGCAAATCCTTAATGGGAACAGATGAAACGAATGAATTGAAAGGTGTAATGAGGGGAAGGAAGTTTCCGCAATACCGTCCTTATGGCTATTACCGCTGTGCGCACGTTGCTGTTTCATAATTTTGTTGTCTTTCTGTTTTTCATTCTGCTTTTTGATTGCTTTGTTTTTCTTTTTCCTTTCTTTTTTACTTTTAATCATAAAACAGGCGTACATGAATTGCCCAGAAAAGTGCACATTGTTATCGTGGAAGACTACAAGTTAAGCCAAGGATGTACGAGAACACTTCAAATGACTGTATCGCAGGATTATTTTGCAGTGCGCATCTTCAGAGGGGGGGGGGCGAAGGAACTGTTTTGCGCTGCGCTTCGCATTGCATTGCGCAAGATGCGTTTCGCGCGACGCGAGCATTACTGCGAACCTTTCGCTTGTCACCAGTTACAAAGCCACTCCTATTGAACTGGAGAACAACTGTGAGCGATTTATGCTTGTGGTTTAACTCCCTTGTAATTGCGTCACGTTAAACACGTCACAGATTCATTTTTTGCAGATCTTTCGTCAAGAACTGGAACAAGCGGAAGCTGCTGGAAAGGGGTTGGAATCAATGAAGGAGGAGGAAGATGCCGAGCTTAATCGTCTCATTGCAGAAAATGATCGGATTAACCGTGAAAAGGTACAAATTTGTTTGATGTAGAATTCGTGAGGAACGTGATCAAAGCACTTCAATTTTTGGTATTCCGAGAATTCTGAATGGTGCAGTTGTAGGCAGAAGCAAGGGCGCGAAAAGAGGAGGAAGAATGGAAGGTTACTCAGCGTGAGATTCTAAGCGAAATCGATGAGGCTCTTCAAAAACAGCACCAAGTGGCAAAAGAGGCTACAGCAGAGGTAGTTCCAGAAATCGGGTTATCGAATGTCTATAGTTTTTGTTTTATTTTTCTCTACGAGCTGTTGAGCAAAGATTTATATGGCTTCATAGGAAATTGCTATTTAAGGTTCGAGATGCAATTTCTCGCAGTCGTGACTTCGTGAACGAGGAAAATTTAGAAGCGAAGATCCTAGAAGCTCTTGAGCACCCTATAGTCTACGATTTTGCTATCGATCGCCAAGGCAAAAAGGTAGGTCTTTTGTTTCAGTTCGCGATTTTTGAAAGATCTCCAGACTCTGTCCTGAGCCCACTCAGGACTTTTATCATATTCCCTTCATATAGCCGGTCTTTTTGGCATTGGCATAATTTCCGTTAAACTGGAGGTCATGATTTATTTGCTACTCAATTGTACAACGTTATTTTTATTGATAGTTCCTTAATTTTTGATTTATTTTAGTTCTTCTTTTAATGGTGTTCCATAGTATTTCCTGTTAATCCTCGCATCATGTGGGGGCGATCTAGTCCAGCCCCTTTGTTCGCTCTTTTTGTTGCTTTGAGTGGGAGGGAAGTCAATATTTTTCAATGGATAGATAAGCGAATTTCCATTCTGATTGTGAGAGACGTACCATGTGGAAGTTCACAAAAATTTAAATTTGAACAAGTAAAACTCGGAATAGAACAAGCTGACGGACTACGTCAAGGTCGTTTGTTCACATGAATTTATACCCAGCTGATCAAATAATATAATAATTACATTCTTCTCGCGTGATAGTGCTAAAATTAAGGTCATTGTCTTTTCAGTACTACGATCCTACACCGGTGAAGTACCAAGAGGGTGTACCAACGCGACAAAAAGGTCGACTCTTTGATCGCACTCTTGGAGTCCCACAAGCATCTGAGTCCGAAGAGGACAAACATCAAGATGATTTATCAGAAGCTTCCAAGGTCTGAAAAATGTATAGAGACATTGAAAGTTCAAAAGCTAGTTAAGCTGCATGTACCTGTAATTTTTTAATTAACTTTTCTAGAGCTTGAATGATATATTAGAACTCAGTAGATAGTTAATCGTGCGACTTTGACATTGTTAACTGTTGTTATCGAATGATTGTTAGGTTTTGCGATTTAGATTGGACCGGGTCGCTTTTTCATGATTTTTACCTTGTCGTTCACAATCTCAATTTATAGGTTAATTTTTACATATATTTGTTCTGTATTTTATTCTCAGGAACCTAGTAAATGTTAAAAAAGCCGTCACTTTTTTGCTGTCTCGTGGGAGAATCGAAGTGTATTTACTTTATTTTATGAGTGTTTGTGCTCACTATGAAGGCCTGTAGGAGATGCAGACATATGTGGCTGAAATCGGAGAGCTGGTTCGAGCCCAACGGAGGGATGAAGAAGAAATTGACTCATTACAGGATCGTATTTCTCGGGTACGCAAAATTTCGTGTTTTTGTGTTCATCATTTTTCTCGTGTGAGCACGCGTAGTTCACTGCATTACATATATCTGTCTTGCTTAAACTTTTTTAGCAGTAGGTTGAGTGCTTTCAGATTGTGAAAGAACTCTTGGGACAACGAGCGTGGATAAGACTCTACCCGTACCTGAGGACTGTTGCATTACTGTTGTATTACTCGTGTACTACTTTGGCAGGTATATCAAGTTTCGTGATGGTCTTCCTATGTAAACGTGCCCCCTCCTTGCCTGGTTACGAGTAGTCAATATCAAAACGCGACTTCAGAGGCTCAAGTTTGATTTTGTACTACCAGGAAAGTTCATTAGGTCACTTGGCCGACTGGAGTGATATGTATACATATTTCTGCATTCGTCCTGAATTGCTGAGTATAGGTCTGCTACCCTTATATGTTCAACTTTCCTCTGAAAGGACTTATGAAGCAGAAAAGCGCGACACCATATGCTTGCATAAGTTACATGTACAAAGAATTTGAGATCAGTTAGTAGCGAAACCGGGTGATATTCGCTCCTGACTACCCTAGACGCCTGTAGCGCAGGCACCAGCCATTCTCATTCAAACAAGTGTGATTTTCGCAATCAGGCTGTTGAATTAACCATTTGAGTAAACTTTTAGCCATTTTTGAAATTTTGACCTAACCTCGAAAAATGGGGGTCACTTTGAGCTATCAACCCATCACCAAAGCTGTTATCGGGATGGAACTAACCTTCTAGACACCACTCAGAAAAAAAAACGAAAACAGTGTATGACTTGTCTATCTGCACTATCATGAACTCTACAAGGCATTGTTCTTGAGTGCAACCTCCTCCTCCGCTCCCTCGTCGTCCACGATCAGTCCACCCGAAAGATGTTTTTAGGGAGTTGCGATAACATTATGACTTGCCCCACTTTTTTCTCATTAGTCTTGTCAAAACCTCAGAAATTGACCAGAAACTTGTGGGCTTGTTTGGGGTAGCTTGACCTCCTTAACGCGAATATTTGGCACGGAAAAGCCATACGTGCACCAACCAGGAAGGTCGTTCAGGGCGGTGCCAAGCTTTTTCAAAACGGTTTTTGCATGATATATGAACACATGCAAGAACCACAAATCTGTGGTTCATTTTTCCTAAATGGCTCTCTGAATACCAAAAAAGGGCGTGATGAAGGGGTCCGTGGTTCGATTCCTTGCGATGACAAATTTTTTGCATTTCGGGTTGGCGTCTCAGAATTTGCGCAAAATGGCGTCAGTGCCAAGAATGGATGTCATTTGCATAATAAGAACCGTCACCAACTCTCACAAGTAGCTTTTGTCCAAAAACGGGTCATGGCATTTGTGACCCCAAAAGGGCACCAATGAAGCACAAAATGGCGTTATTAGGGCTTCAGATGATGTGTGCTCCAAAAAAACGAATGTTATATTCGTAATCAGGGCACTGAAGAACCCCTATATCAAAGTTTCAAGGAAAACAAGGTATTGACCAAATTTCGAACAATTGAACCATGGGGAAGCCACTAGAGCTATCAGGCCTGGTGGTAGATGATATGACAATCTCCTCGCTATCTAGAATGAAAGGGCTCTAGAAACGAGAAATCCTGAGCTGCGATGTAACACGTGTCTTATAGAGACAAGACGTCGGTCTCCGTAGTTATCACAAGAGTATACTCTATTTTCTGGGGTACCCCCCAGGAGGCTCGTCGCGCGGCAAAAAGGCAAAGCCAGCGGACGGACGGACGGGTACCCCATTTCTGCTCCGAGCTCACCTAAAAGCCGTCCGTGGACACACGTCGGGTTGTCCCTACGGCCAGTCCAACTTTTCGAGGTCGAGTCAAAGATCTCGATTTTCCCCAAAACTTCGGTGTTAGGGTTAGATCAGCGCTCTGATCACGAAGATGACATTCTTTCTGACGCCAGCGCAATTTGGCGCCATCTTGACGCCACGACATTTTTCCCACAGTTGTAGGAAGAAAACTCATTCTAATGGGGTTATATTTGTGACCCTAACCAATAAATGTAGTCGAACATAGAGATAGTACCACTTGGCACCCATTCTGGTGCGGTAGTGGAACCAACAACCCCTACAGCGCCGTGCGAACTTGAGTCCATCGCGCTATCCACTAAACCATTGAGTGCACACGCACGAAGGCATCGAAATCCCTTACGAAGTCGTGCCACTTCCTCCAGCACATAGCTTGGACAAACGCAATATTTTGTTAGAAGTTCGCGTTTTTTTCTAATGCACGGATAGCGGTAACCCTTTAATATGACATCAGTCAACCTTGTGGACGATATGCCCCACAATGAAGCCGTAGAAACGACAGTTTCCAAGGTAATTTTTCTTCCGCTCTTTTTTTGTATTTTAGAGTCATTTAGGAAAAATGAACCATAGATTTGTGGTTCTGGCATGTGTCCCTGTATCATTCAAAAAACCGGTTCGAAAAAGCTTAGCACGCCAGCACGACCTTCCTGGCAAGGGCACTGCAGCTGTCGGGTCCCTGGATGACGTCGGGGCGGAAGTACTGGTTTCATTATAACCATACTCAGAAGCGGCAGGGGGAGTATTGAACAGAAGAGGGTGAAAAGCGAACAAATTCATCACAAGGTCATGCTTCCTCTTTCGGAGTGTTCTCGAATAACCACTAGAGATGCGTCTCTCGTTACAGCTATGGAGTCAGTAAAGTCTAGTGTAATCAGCGGCAAAGACTCACGGCGAATCTCCAACATTTGTTTTACAACCCAAAAAAGTATGTCCATTTCACGACAACCGAGACCATGCGTTTGAAAAAGACAAGGTTCTAGACATAAGCCTAGTTGAAAAGTCCTACCATATCCATCGTGCAGCAGTGATCAGCCTCCTTTTGAAGGACCACTGCACTTCTCGCTCAGCAATCACCCTGCCGCCAAAGTACGGTTCCCGTAGGCACCTCAAAAACGACCTCACTAGCTGCCAGCCTTTTAGGAGTTAAACGACTACTCCTCGGTTGAATGTTGGTAACAAGTCACTGGATTAGTGGCTGGGTGTGCATATACTGATGATAGATAATACATATACTTGAGATGGAGTGGGTTCAAAAAAAGTTCAAAATAAATGCTTAAACTTTTAAGACAATCTGTATTTTGAGGCATTGATGACAGCCGTTATACGTGTATCCCACTCAGCATCTTTTTATCGTTGGTAATTACAAGGGAGGTTGTTCAGGGTAAGCCGCGCTTTTTCAAAACGGTTCTTTGCATGTTGTAGCAACTCATGCGTGGACTACAGAACCAAGGTCCATTTTCGCTGAACGGCCTGAGAAGGCCAAAAACTGGTGAGGAAGTGATCCAAGGGTCGATCTTCGTGATGACAAATTTTTGCATTCTAGTTGGAGCTTCCAAATTCACCATCAGGATTACCAGTAACTATACTCAGATTTTTAACTGGAATGTGGCGAAAAAAGTTGCAACGCCAGAAAGGCGAAAAATAGTGCCGAAGTGGCGTAAATTTCAGCCATCTGGGAAGATGGATTTCATATTCGTGATGAGAGCATGGATATTTTTCGACGTAGAAGATTTGGAAAAAATTGAGATTCCGAGCCAGTTCCGCAAATTTGGCCGTGGACAGGTCGGTCAGTAGCCCATGGCCTACTCCAGCCGGCGATCGGAAAATGAGTTAATCAAGCTTGTGATGGACAACAGGACCCGCATGAGTTGAAGTCGAGCAATTCTTCTCTCCTTCAAGACGTGATATGTTTGGCCTCGCTCTTCCACTCGTAGGGCCTCATGACAGGAGCGATCTCAAGGACCGCGACGTGGTGCACGTTCTCTATGAAATCGAGCTTTGGATCCCGTGAATCATTACGGTGTACCGCTTGATTTCCGCGCAGTGTTGCTCGCTGGCCTGCATCTGGCCTGTGGCCCATGGTCACCTTTTCGAAGTTGGGTCACATCCCGATTTTGGAAGCTGAAAATGAAATTTCGCCCATAGGGGTATGTCAAGGTGCTGATCACGGATATGGCTTCATTTTTGGCGAGAGCGCCATTTGGCGCCAGTTTAGCGCTGCAGATTTGTTCTGCCAGTTTCTGATAGTTAACCCATTTGTAGGGTGCTAATGGTCTTCTTCTTCTTCTTCTTCTCCCTAGCGTTAGTCCCGCGCAGTCGCAGGGTCCGCTGTTTTTGTCAGTCGTCGCCACTTTGCTCTGTCCAGGGCATCTTCCTGCGTGGCCGTGACCTCACCTAGGTCCTTCTTGATTACGTCTTTCCACCTTTTCTTTGGGGCTCCTCGCGGTCGCTTGCCTTGTACTTCGAAGTCCATCGCTGTTCTTATCGGATGGTCCTGTGGCCTCCTTAGCACATGCCCATACCATCGCAGACGCTGTTCTCGTACCTTAGTTGGACAGGGGCAGTCTGCATGACCGAGCTGCCGTTCCGGGCTGCTAATGGTCCTGATTGTGAGTATAGCATTAACCCTTTGACGACCGCCGTTATGAATGCGTCACTTCACTTCTTTCTAAATTTTTTCATCAATAATCATTAACTCTCCAACAATTTCACTATTAGTAATTAGCGCATTATTCCGCGAATTCGATGATGTATTTGTGTAGTTTTGAAACATAAAAAATGCCAAAATAAACCCCTAAAAACGTGTCGCCACCGAGCGAAAGTGTGGCCCACCGGCGGGCCACACGGTCGTCAAAGGGTTAATTTTGACGCTGAAGCACTTTGGCACTGATTTCGAGGTAACAATCAAAAATATAGAAGTTTTGAGTGGAGCGGTGTATAGCCCCAAACTCCGTGACAATCCGAGTTCACCACGCTATCCACTTAACCACCAGACCACTACAAGTGGTGAGATGCCGACGACGCTTATGAAAGCTCCTCGTTTTTTCTAGCACTGTCACTGCCAGAACTTCAAATTTGGGCGATTTTCACGTCGTTTTCGATGCCATCATTCACCTCAACACCCTCCAATATACAGGTGGTTTTCTGTAAAAGTCTGTAACGTCACTCCAAAACTGTGAAAGCCACCCATTCCTAACAATTTTTTTCCGACTAATTTTTGGCCTTCAAGGGACTCTTCAGCGGAAAAAGAAACAGAAAATTATAGTGCATGCGAGAGCCCATACAGCATGCAAAAAACCGTTTCAAAGAGCGCGGTTTACCCTGGAAGACCTTCCTTGTTAAAGTAATCCTCAGAATGATGAGGTGTTTTCCAAAAATAGCAGCCCAGCTTTACGAATAAGCAGGTGTACTTGAAAGTTTTGTTCAGCTGTACTGTTTTTTAAAGGTGTTCAAACTCTTGGTGAGGAATATGTGAAGATATTCCAAATCCGGTCGACAGTACGAGCTGTCCCTTCGCTAGGAGCTAGACTTCTGTTTGTTCTTGTTCACGCAGTTGCCCCTATTATTGTCGCAGTTTTGCTCTGCAGGTGCGCCTTATGTCATCATTGAAGAGCTGGTCATTATTCGAATCGGCATGACACGTAGGTACGTTCATTAACCTTATTTTTTAGAGAGCAGAGCGTCTTCTCGCACATCCATCTACTTCATCGTTTATGGGCATCACAATCAGGAACAATCAGAAGGCTAGAAGCAGCTTCAAGTTATTAGTGGAATGGATGAGGTATAGTATCATCTTTGAGTATTCCCGTGTTCTCTGATAGGTTTCATGCCGCTTTAGGTCTGTTGGTGTTCCTCAGCTTTACCGCATACATCTGGCGTTCTTCTATATCTTTGGCGTTTACTACAACATTTCCCATCGGATATCGGGTATAAGATACTTGTCTTTCAGCCCACAAACGGATCTAAAGGTTTCGCTTCATTCGGATCAATACATGCTCTCCTTTGCTGCCAAAATCCATATATTTCAGGCACTAAAAGTCTACAAGTTTTTGGGTTATTTAACCTTGGCGCAGACTGCTCTTAGTCTCATTCTCTGGATGGTTTCCTCTCTGGAGGAAGAAAGAAACCGAGCCAGGAATACTCCAGCAGCAATGGCCAATCGTGCAAGGAAAGACCTGCCCGAGCAGGACGACGTGGTGAGTGGACCGCTAGCATCCAGGGCCGAGAAGTGGTCAAATTGAGCACAACTGAAACCAAAAAGGTCTACCAGAGTCCAGTAGGACCGCGAAAATTCGTTAGAGTGACTCTAGTGGGTCCTGGATTATATTTCATTCGTATTCATGGATCCGGCATTTCCACCTTCGTGCTGAACAGCACCAGGATTTGCACGTTTTCTCTTCACAAGGGATTCTTTTGAGACACACACAACGAAATCTTTGGAAAGCAAGGCATGATCTGTTCAAAAAGCATGTGTTGTGCATGGTAGGAATTGAGTATTGTATAAAAGTATCAGTGCCGCATAACTGTTCTCGGTGAATGGATGATGTGGCTCCCGTGCAGGGATCAACTCTCGCGCTGGCACTTTTTGGAATACTTTACGGTCCTCCTCCCAGGGGAGGGAGGTCGATGCGACACTTCACTACCACCACTATCAGCCTCAAAGATATCTCCCCATACCTACCCCCTCCCCATCCATCGACCGCCTCCCTCACCGTCATGACTGTATGTGTAGTATTCGATTTTATGATAGCCGTTGCTACGCCACAGGTCTTTACTTTTCCTCCAAAAAGGCCGTTGAGAGGGATGAATATGTCTCAAGAAACGGACCAATAAATTCAACCCTTGTGTCTTCTACGAGATCGTTATGCTGCTTAGTTCTAGATACACTCTTCCTTCCCAAAATCACAAATACACCCAGTGATACTTATACCTAAGCGATTGGACCCTACTCCAGGGCTTGAAATCGGGGCTTGATCGAAGATTTTTGCCTATTTCAGTTAACTCTCCCGCGCTTACTTTTACTTTCAAGACTACTCTCGCTCACTAGAAAACGACGGTAGATGAATTCCTCTACCCTTATTCACCCTGCTCTGTTCCCGTGATGGTGCATTTTCATTTTACAATGTCACCCAATGGTATTCACAGCGAGAGCGCTTATTCATGATCTGAAAAATCTGTAAACCCTATGATTGGTTTGGTTAATAAAGAAATCTAGTGGTAAAATTTGTGGCGCCAGCCTTATGAATGATTTTATATTCTTGATTAGTGCCTTGGATCATAGCAGAAGTTTCGGAGAGGACCGCGATTTTATCCGAAACAGCGGTCAAAAGTACTCGACGAAATAGTTACTTCTTTGCATGCATCCATTACATTTTTCGTCGCGTGACCAGGGCATTTAATTTTTGATATGTTGCGAATTTGATGTGCTAAGAAACTGATGCATGTGTATTTGCATACGGTTAGAATTTACCGCTTAAATGGATGGCGCATCGCAGATCGATATTAACTTTTTCCGAACGACCCATTCATATTGCATCACTATATCATATCATATCATATCATATCATATCATATCATATCATATCATATCATATCATATCATATCATATAGTATCTATATCAAGTATCTCTAATCTCTATTACTAGCGCTTTTTTTATCGATGGTCACAGGATGCCTTTTGATTCGCGGACTTCCTCGACCGATTTTCATTCTGCTTCCAGTTTAACCCATGGTCGACTGCTCATCGGTAATTTGTCAGCGGGGTGGGGGGATCGTAAATGAGATCTTGGAAAGGGGTCGTATTTCTGATTTTTGTGCTGTGTTATTGTGACAAAAGGGTCGTATTTGGGATTTCAGAGGGGTATTGGTATATGAAACATGCCACAATCGGCATAATTGCTGTCTTTCTAGTCATGTAATCACACCTCTCCCACCGCTCTCATCTCCATCTCCCTCCCCCTCCCGTCCCTCGCTCTACAACAGCTCTGGACGAACAAGTGAGCGGAGTTTTAGTGTGTCAAAACCAATGCTATGGAAACAGCCGTGGTGGTCAGGGTGATGCTGGAAGGTAGTAGATGCACTTGCGTGTTTGGTCGCATGGGTAGAGGGAGACCACAGCCAACCGTGATGTTGCGGAAAATCTCAGAAATTTTGCGACCCTCCTCTTAAGCCGGAAGTTGTGTAGTGGCAAGAGACCTGCTTAACACGCGCGCGGTAATGAGATCAAATCCTGGGTCGTGAGTCGCCCTGGGCCAACCCAACCTTCCATACATCCCTTCGGGTCGGTTAATTGGTACCAGACTTGTCTGGGAAGGATAAAAACACTGACTTGTACATCGGCTGGCCCCCGCAAGTCATTGTATAGGCCACATCGCATTCAAATGCCACTACGAATGTACAAATGGAAGTAGAATGCGTGCCGCATCCCAAAACGGGATTGATCAACGGCGGATGCGTTACCCTTTTTACCGTCTGAGGGAGTATCGCGACTCCTTCTTGGTCGTCCTCCTCAACTCTTGCAGCCCCGTATTTTTTCCCATCAATTCTTTTCTGCTTTTGTTTATTACTTGTGAGCACAAAAATTTTGCTTGTGAGCACATAAATAATTACTTGTGAGCACATAAATAATATTATAACGAAATTTGGAAGCTATTCGATCACAAACTAAGAAACTAAGAAGCTTTGAAAATTGGCCACACCTTCTTAGTTTTTAGCTTATGTCGAAACAATTCCAAATTTCATAGTTATGTCGAAAAAGTTTATGATCTTGCACAACATTATATCTACATTTTTGATAGTACGAATATATGTCAAGTATTTTAGAAATGATTGACACTTACCTAGCGGCTTGCTGAGACCAGCGCCGATTCACTGTTGCACTTGTACACAAATACTTGTAATGCTAACAGCAACACACAATAAAATGGCGGTTCAAAGCATAATTAGGAAGGGGAAGGTCGTCTGAAGTAACCTTAGCAGTGGATGGTAGAAGTATGCTGTTGCTGCGGTAATGCAGACCTTTGAATTTGATGGTGGCAATTGGACCTGCCAGGGCTGAAAGCTTTAAGATGGGGTCTTATCGAGACTTCCTAAGCTGGGGTTGTAAAATTTCCGAAGTTCCTGCCGAAGCTGCTGTACACCCTGTCCTTTATCTTCAAAAAGCTGCACAGTTTTCAATGTTACCTTTCTAATCAACACTATTCTGTTTAAAGCCTTCGTATGTTTTGCTTTTTGAGTACGAAGGAGTTCAGTGGATTCCATTTCTGCCTCTCTTTTTAGTTCCCTCATTCTTGGTTCCGATGCTCAGTGTGTCTAGAGAGCAAATCGCCTTCAACTACAACGTGCGGTCACCTCTTCTGCTGGAACTGTATACAGGTAAGGAATAAGCTTCAGGAGAGTGCCCAACGATATTTTGATGTTCAGTTCATTCTCTTCAGGAGCATGCATTGTCTGGCGATGGAGAGGCGCGATGTCCGCATTGTAGAGCTTTATTCGAACCATCTCAAGTCGTACCTCTTTTGAATTTATAATGTGTATGTATTTGTACATAGTAAGGATGTGTGACGCGCAATATCGCGCGCGTCACGCGGTTGTTGAGGAACTGTCATTCGTTAATTTCTGAATTGGAGTCATCAGATGGCCCCACACACCATTTCCAAAATTTGCGCAAAAATGTGACAACTTTTAATTGATGTGCCCATGCCCGAGCCCCTCTAGTATTTCAATTCCAGCTATACTTATTCATTGCCAATTTCTGTTTCCAGCCAAAAGCCAAATTCAGTCGACGTAGATCAAAAGCTAAACAAATGCTCTCCCAACTCATTGTTTTCTTACAAGTTTTAACGCTTAGCGGTTCTCGTGGGGGTTGCGAGTTCGCTTTCAAACACACTCATACAAGAAAAATTTTTTTAGCGGATTGTATGCGTAACAGTTTCAGAGCTCGCCATACTGCTCTATCACTAGTTTCTTGAGTCACTCATAAGATTTTCCCACTGGGCCCCCCCAAAAAAAACGATGAAATGGAAGGACCGATTTTTCTAATCGATATACTATTTCCTGGGTCTTTTCTCAACTCTCATCTTGGCCAATGTGTCTTTCTTCCCAGGCTTTATGCTCAGACCCTGTCTTATGATCGATTGTCTATCGAACAGCGTAATAATTCCGACTATTTGTGGTGAGCACGTTTGACTCTTTTCTTGTCTCCATCAGCCTACATCCATAATCGGCCACATAAACCCCATATAATTGGAATAAAAATTCAGCATCTAGAACGGATATTTTACTAATACGTGTGCGCATGTGGTCCGGCTCTGGCTCCATACGTACACGCTTTTTTTTCAACTCCCCCTTTATCGGTTCATCTCCCAACCAAATTTTCCGTTTTGAGCTTGTGTCCTCGTCGAATGTGGGTTACACGAACAACCAGACTCAAATTTAACCTGGTCGTCCACAAATATTTGACTTGTCCTTCCAGGCTAGATTCTATCCGCTTCTTCTCGTTCCGTGTCATCTCTGGACCGTTTCAGGAGTTTGAATTTTAGCTCTCCTTTCTTGAGTGCGATGCGCCAATCACGTAGGCTTCCGATGGCTTCTGACCCCCCTTCAGCGCTATTGTCGGTCCTTATCCCTACTATATATAATGCGCTATGTCTGTCTGTCCGTCTGTCACGAAATTCGGTATCAAGCGAACAACAACCTACAGGGTCCAGGTCAAGTTTGGGATGGGTATACCATATCCCTAGAAGTAAAAAACACACATCAGCCAAGCGGAGCCCCGCCCACAGTGGGCGTGGCGTGCATCGGTTGATTTCAAATTCAGTCACAAAACAGCCTCGAGACCGGGACAAAAGTGGGCATAGGTGTGGGTTGGTAAGCCAGATCGAACTGAGGAGACCCACCCTCGGTGGGCGGGGCGTTCTCTAGAAAATGGGTGCTCAGTGAAAATATTCATAACTCGGTTAAGAGGAAGCCTACAGACCAGAAACGAAATTAGTGCAGGGGAGCAATGCCTAAGGTATTTCCACCACGCATGATGTGAACGGAGGCCCGCCCACAATGGGCGGAGCGTGTCGTGAAGCGGACAGCATTTTCTACAAGAGCTCATAAATCGGCTCCGAGATGACTTAGAGACCGGAAAACAACGGATAGAGGTCAGGAGGGGAGGGGAAGCTAAATGTCAGGGATGGGCGTGGCTTACATCAAAGTGGGCGGAGTTTGCAATTAGGCTTATAACTCGGTTCCTAGGAGTCCCGGAGTCCGGGAAAAAAGCGTATAAGGGTTGGCAGAGGGAAAGGGGTCAACCGTTGTTGGCGGGCGGAGCATGCACCAAAGTGGGCGGGGTTTGCCACGGTACTTCATAACTCGGTTCCAATAAGTTCCAGAGATGGGAGAAAAGTAGAAAAAGGTTGGGGAAGAGATGATAGCCGACTGATATCAGTGGGCGACCCACGCACCAAAGTGGGCGGGGTTTGCCACAAAGATACGTAGCTCGATTTCGTCCCCTACAAGACCTCATAATTCGGCTCCGAGATGACTTAGAGACCTGAAAAAAATACCAGAGGTGAAAGTAGGAGTAGAGGTTGAATGTGAACGCTGGGCGTGGCACACCCGGATGTGGGCGGAGTTTGCCACCGCTCTCATAACTCGGTTCCTAGAAGTTCCGGCGACCGGGGAAAATGTGCATAAGTATTGAGGTATGGAGTAGGGTTGAATGCCATTGTTGGGCTAACCATGCACCAAAGTGGGCGGGGTCTGCCTCAGAAATTCGTGACTCATAACGCCATTTACAAGACCTCATAATTCGGCTCCGAGATGACTTAGAGACCTGAAAAAAATACGCCAGAGGTGAAAGTAGGAGTAGAGGTTGAATGTGAACGCTGGGCGTGGCACACCCGGATGTGGGCGGAGTTTGCCACCGCTCTCATAACTCGGTTCCTAGAAGTTCCGGCGACCGGGGAAAATGTGCATAAGTATTGAGGTATGGAGTAGGGTTGAATGCCATTGTTGGGCTAACCATGCACCAAAGTGGGCGGGGTCTGCCTCAGAAATTCGTGACTCATAACGCCATTTACAAGACCTCATAATTCGGCTCCGAGATGACTTAGAGACCTGAAAAAAATACGCCAGAGGTGAAAGTAGGAGTAGAGGTTGAATGTGAACGCTGGGCGTGGCACACCCGGATGTGGGCGGAGTTTGCGGCGTAAGTAAGATGTACCGAGCAGAAAGCTAAAATCAAGACAAAAATACTGATGGGCCCGATTTTACCGCTGCAGCCCCGTCTCATGCACGCGAATGCGTGCGCAGCCAAACTGGTTATAAATATATGATTGGAATACTAAAGCAAACCCATGTTAGGTACTAGCGTCTCGCCAACAATAGTATTTCATTTTTTCTCTCTCGCCAACTCCGCATACTTTTTTCTCTGTCTTCGGATCTGCTGTGGACCGAGTTATAAGCGTTGTGGCGAACTCCTCCCACATTAGTGCACGCTCTGCCCACCATCGGCAGCTGGCCTCCTTGTCTTCGCCAATCTTTCTCCGCTTTTTTCCTGTTTCTGGACTGTTTCTGAACCGAATTACGAAGTTTCCTAGCAAACTCCGCCAACTTTAAGGCACGACCGCCGCGGGCCTACGCTCGCGTCATGTGTGCTGGGAACACCTTAGACATTACTTCTCTTTAGCAATTTTCTTTTTGATCTGTAGACTTTCTCCCAAACGAGTTAGGATTTTTTTTTATTGAGAGGATGGGCAGGAAACTCTGTGGAGCGGTTGACGCCCCCTTTTAGAGATGCTCGCGCGTCCCGCAGTAGGGTCACCTCATTCAGTTGGCTTCCTCAGTGCAGCACCTTTAACATTCGCCCCGTTTGTGAGTGTGTTGAACAAATTTGAAGTTTCGTCATTGCCGCTCATTTCAGTGCACGCCACGCCCAGTGTGGGCGTGGCTCCGCTCACCTGGTGTATGCTCTCTACCTCTTGAGACATTGCCCAGCCATTCCACACTTTATCCGGTCTCTGCAGGCAAATCTCTAGGGGCCGGGTGCAGCAAGCTCTCCCCGAGGTTGGGTATATATCCCACAACCTTGGGAATATATCCCGAACCCCGTCACAGTACCCATTTTCGATGGGTCCCGTGACGAAAGCGGGAATATATCCCAAGGTTGGGGACATATCCCCAAGATATCCCCAACCTCGGGGAGTTGGGGCTTGCTGCATCCGGCCCCGAAGAAGTAGGGATTTCGTACAGACATACAGATCGGTAGAGGGGAGGCGATAAGGCAGACCGGCAGACGAAGCGCTTTATCGTAAGTAGAATGTTATGGATGACATTCCAAGAAATTCACTATATTTGCTTATCATTATTATTACCGTTTTATTATTATTATTATTATTATTATTATTATTATTATTATTATTATTATTATTATTATTATTATTATTATTATTATTATTATTATTATTATTATTATTATTATTATTATTATTATTATTATTAGTTTTTAACCTTCATCAATCAAGTAAGCATTGTTATTGTATTTCTTCTTAATAGATATAGAATGAATCACTAGTGTGCCATTCCGCAGTTTTTGGAGCTTTAGAATCAGTTGCAACATTTATCACCTAAGAGCTTAGCAATCCTTGCGAAATTGTCATCGATGAAGGACAGTTCTGATCTTTCGCGAGAAGCAATAAACTTTCTTTATGTTTGCTCGTTCTGTATAGCAGACTTGTGTCATCCGCTGATATATTGAAGTACATGTCCTACTTGTTTCTGTAATTCTTATATTGCAAAGCTTTTTCTTTCGACTTTTCTTGCCCACTTCTATGCTAGGACATGAGGTCGTGAAAGAATCCAGTGCTTCAAATATGTCAATATCAGATTTCTTACATTTGCGAAGTGATTGCGCTTGTAACGGCGCAAGATATTAGGAAACAGCATCAGAACGTAGACTGACCATATTTAATTTTACGCCCTAGGCATATGTGGCCTGCATCTTTTGGCGGAGGCGTATTATCATGAAAGATTGTATTGTTTAACACTATGAGGCGGTGCCTTTGACGGTAAACACGGTAATCCGCGATCTGATGGGGCGGGTGCGTAGCGTTTCTCCTCCTGGGGTCAGGTCACCTAAAATTGAGACGCCGTTCATTCGCTCGGAGCAAGCTTAGGACTAAGCCTAGGCCCAATCATAGGCTTAGGCATAAGCCAATGTGTAAGCATAAGCCTTAACCTAAGTCTAAACCCAAACTTAACCTTAAGCTTCAATGATCGCGCAACTGTGGTGACCTGACCCAGGAGGAGAAACGCACGTCTTCTCATCAAGAGTGCCTGAGCGTCAAGTCAAAAGACATTCCCCTAATGTTTTTTATACTAGTGTTACTCTGAAATAATAGAAAATCCCACACAATAAGAAGTGAGACGTTCACGATGTTTTTGCAACAGTTTGAAATGTGCTCTATTTTGACCCTTAGAGAGACTTTGAAAATGGATCCGCTAACGTTCCTTGTACAGCATTCTTCGCTTTTATTGG